CACACCTGCTGATTGTTTCCTTCGTGGACACGGCGTCTCTGAGTGTTTCCACTGGAGACAAACTGCTTTGTGTTCATTGAATCAACTGGAAATGTTGGGTTTTATTGAGCTCGTGATAAATTATTAATTATTAATTATTATTAATTATTATATTAATGTTTTAATATTCAAATCTGCTTCACATCTCAGGTGAACCACATTTCCACACCTGTCTGAGCCTGTCCAGCGTCAGGATGTTCTCCACAGCCAGGACACTGCGGAGGTATTTCTCGATGGCTGCCTCGCTGGCGGCCGACTGCTCGTCCTCTGCGCTGGCGGCCAGCCGGGCCAGCATCTCCCGGTCCTCTGGACCGTGGATGTCCTGTAGTGGGAAATAAGGCAGTATTTATTCAAAGCCAAATAGCACTGCTCTGCTCACACACGGGACACAAACACCTTTATATTAAAAACACGCTGATCTGGTAGCATCACGCCATGTTGACGTTTACACAAACACCACGCTCTGTTCGAGTCTACAAAAATCGTCATGGTAACGTCCGATGTTGCCTTCTTCTGAATTTGTCACAGTCACAAGACTTTCAGAAAACATGACCTCTGAAGCTGAGGTCAAGGTCAGAGATTTGAACCTAGTATCATATCCTATATTAGTATCAGTGTGTAAAACGTACATCTTCACCTCTTCCATAGGTAGATGCTGCTAATCAATACATCTGATTAACTGATCATCAGCAGGTGTGAGCACTTCTATAAAAGCTAGTCTTTTGTCACTTTGCTGGTCTGGAGCTTTCCGGTGTGTTAACTGAGGAGGAAAGACGATCTCAGAGAAGCAACTGTGGCTGCTCATCAATCTGGAAAGGGTTCAAAGGTCACTCCCAAAAACGTTAAAGCGCATCACTCTGCTGCGATAAAAATGAACAGAGCATTGATCCTTCCCAGGAGGAGCAGATTCACCTGGAGGTTGCAATGTTTAAGTTCATCATGGCACAATCAGGAAAAGCGTGAACATGTTTCGGCTTATTTGGAGAAGTGTCCATGAGAAAGCCTTTTCTCTCCACAGAGAACGTGCTGTCTACTTCTGGAACGCCGGGATTCATTCCTCCATATGTGCGTCGAAATGTTCTTACTCTAAAATGACCACCAGATTCAAGAAATGTACACGCTCACCATTTTTGTTCTTACTGCCATTTAGCTGATCAGGAAGGCCAGCTCTGTTCTGGGATGCACCCTGGGCCCAGTGCAGGTGGTGGGAGACAGAAGGACTCTGATGGACAGAGTCTCCCACCCCATGCATGTGAATGTTGCTGCAGAGCTGCTGCAGTGACAGACTGCTGCATCGTCGATGCATGAAGGAGTGTTTCTGCAGGGCCTTCCTCCCTGCAGCTGTCAGACTGCACAATCACAACTGCTCCCAACAATCATAGATGTTCACATCTGTGCTGTAGCAGCTTCTACTGTTATAACTGCACATTACTTACTCAGCTTATATACACACTAACTTATTGGACGTTACATGTCTACGTTTTAATGCACAATCACACAATCGGCACGTTTCTAATGATTCTAAATATTCTTCACTATTTAAACATCTTTCAGTCTCCTGCTGTCTGCACATCTGTACGCTAATCCTAACAACTGTGCTCTGGTAACTGTTGTCCATGATGTAAATATGTAAAAAATTGTGTTTTCTGTTCTTTATATGTGTGTTTTTTGCTGCTGATACAACCAAATTTCCCCTTGTGGGACAATTAAAGTATTATTCTATTCCCCTTTCCTCCCTTCCTGAACACTAACGCAGACGCCAACATGAATCCTGGTACTTACTCCTGGGATGTTAGAAACCACTTCAAAGGTGATCCCACAGCCGCTGACGGAGCTCCGCTGAGACATCCTCTTCAGCAGACTCTGGGCAAAACCCTGCAGCGCAACAACACATCAGCTGATCTCCTCAGGTGCGGGCTGTGAAGCACACCCATCACACCATCTAAGCTACACACACCTGTCTCCCAGTAACACTGACACAGATGCGTTTCCTGAGGACCAGCTGCATGTGGGCCGGATGGCTCAGCTGCACCACCGTGCGCACCGTCAGGTACACCCTCTGGTCAGCAGGCGCCACGCGACTCAGCTGGGGGCACTCGTGGACCGTGGAGTCCCAGGACGCCTCGGCCTTCACCTGGAACGCATTCACAAGGAAATGACCGGCTCAAGATTTCCCTCCATCTGCACCTGGTAGTTTTAATTCTCTCTAAAGCAGGAAGAAGAAACCTGAGGGAAAAGTCATTTTACAGCCTGCTCACCTCTGGATCATAGTGTTTAACAATATGGAGGTCAAAGAAGTCGTCTTCATCTTCCCCACTGAGCAGCGCATCCTGTCCTCCGGCCAGCGGGGCTGACAGACTGGACTGGAAATCGTCGGCTGGAGGGAAAACGCACACGGTGAGGAGCTTCAGCGCTGCTACAAGCACACGTGGTTTTTACCAGGAGAACAACAACATACCACTGAGATCCAGAAACAGGGCAGGAGTGTGTGTTTCCATCCCAGGTACAGGGACCCTGTGGAGAAAGTGACCAGCTGCTAAGGTTTGTTCCTGAGTGAAGGTGGCGACCGCTCTGTGTTTGACACCGTGGATCATTCGACGGCTTCTTGTGAAAGCAGTGCAGTTTTTAACAGTACGCTCGATCACTTACAAACATGCTACAAGTAACTATTTATTGGTTGTTGTCATTAACTCAGTAACTGAAATTCAGACTAAAACAGAGAATAAACAGTCGGACATCTTCAAGATCAAAGGGCACAGAAAATAAAGACAGAATGAATGAATTCAACATTAATTTAGAAGCTTTGAAATGTTAGGAAGTAAAATAAAACGACACTGGAGACTGTGGCCTGAGCTTCTGCATGTTCCATCACATTAAAGATAAATTCCTTTTCTAAATACAGGAAAGCTTTTTGGAGCAGCTCCACATTTACCAGAAATCTTTTGTTGCTCATTTTCTTCTGTTGTTTAGAAAAGTAAAGAACCCCAATAAAACCCGCCCACCTCTCTACTGGTGCTCCAGGAATGCCGCTGCCAGCGGACGGGACCATGACGGCGTTCCGTTCTTCGGTGAGGGTCAGCCGACACTCCAACAGCTGCGATTCCCTTTCAACATCATCCTCCGACTTGTCTGTGCGCGTTCGCAGGAAACGAAAGCAGCAGCAGGAAAAACGTCACAAACGCTTAGTGGCAGAAACACCGCTCAGACAGATTTTTATCATTATTTATAGATTCACTCACTGGTCGTTATATTAGGTACACCCTTCATATTATTGCAAAAACCTCAAACAAACTAATGGGCTGACACACTGCACCAACGGAACATATTTAGAAATGCAAACACGGTGAAGGAGACCCGCAAATGAATGTGCCGTGCTTACTGGCTCATGGTCTGAGGAATCGAGACTTTCCTGATGTGCTGGGTGTTTCCTCACACAGCCATCCCTGGAGTTCAGTGGCAGCTCTCTGGGTGATGGACTGCGACCACCTGTGCCATCCCTCAGTTACTGCTCTCACACGACTTTCAGAAATCATACTCTGACCTTTAAATTCGTCCAGTTTTTTTAGTAGATGCGCCTCACCCTAACCCTCTCCTCATTCTCGACATGCTCACAAAGGTGTCCGTGCCACCCGCCCAGCTGGGTGACGGCAGTACCCCATCAGCCTTTTACGGCTGAGGGGTAAAAACTGCAGCATCTCTGAACGCACATCACATGTAACCTGGATGTGCTACGCAGTCACACGGTTGGCTCAGAGGCGTGTCAGACTGTTGGCACGCACCACATCCTACGGCGAGCATTACTGCTGCGCCCGTCCCTGTAACCATCACACAGCATCCATCTGCTGATAGATGCTTCCGACGGGTTAATGGTTCACGCCACGAACCTCAGATAATCTGAAACTGGCGTCTGGAGCACGACAGCGGAGTTCACCATACTCAGTGACCTCCATGGTAACCAGATCTCTTTGCTCGAGTTGGATGTGCAGCAGACACAGAGCAACGGTGTGATGTCATCACGTCAGCATGGACTCAGGTCTGTGAGGAACGTTTCCAGCTTTTGTTGAATATACAACATGTTTGAAGGCGAAACGCCGTCTAACCCGGTACGAGCAAGGTATACCTAATAAAGTGGCCAGCGAGTCCCCTTTCTGCCCTTGTGTTTCCAGCTGTACCTGCTTTACAGACGATCTTCTGCAGCTGTTGGTCCAAATACTCCTGTCTCTGCGTCAGCGTGACCAGCCACTGTTCCCTCATCCTCTCCAGGTCCACCTCCTGCACGCGCGCACACACGTGCACACACACAGACACACACACGTGCACGTGAGACAGACTGAGACCGTGTCCTCGCCATCACACACAGACTGCACGACGTCTCTTACCTGATAGCTGTCCATTTCTTCATCTGTACCCTAAAATGTAAATTCACGCACGTTAACAGTTAAAAGGCGGAAAACTGAAACCGTGCTCAGTCTGAAGAACGGCGTCCTCACCTGTTTTGGATCATTTTTGGGGAGACGCACCTGTCGGACCTTTACATCTCCAATAGACACAGACAGGATGGAGGCTGCAACAAGTGGCATGGTGCCCGAGTCCGGGACTGGACAAACCTCCACCTGCACTCGCCGAGACTGTCCCTGTTCAGGAAAGAACCGTTA